AAAAAAGTATAGTAATTGCAACTGAGTAAGGTGAATATATTGTATAGGCCTATGTACTGCAAGAATAGTATTGTGCTGAATATTGAATAGTACTGAATGTTTGTATATATTCAGCGCTTGGATACTGCAAGAATACTGCAGTCCAACTGCAAAGGCCAAAAAGGTCAAATAAAACTCTAAATGAATAGCATGTTACAGTACACTCAAATACTGTAAGTTGTGCAATTGTAAAATCAGGGTTAATGAGAGATTCATTCTGTCTCAGCAGCATCATTCCTTTGTGCTTGCTTGAGTCCGGCCTGAGGACTTTGTCCACATCACAAGTAATCTTGTCTTTTTTGCTAGTAAGTTGTGCAATTGTAAAATCAGGGTCAATGAGAGATTCATTCTGTCTCAGCATCATGTCTTTGTGCTTGAGTCCGGCCTGAGGACTTTGTCCACATCACAAGTAATCTTGTCTTTTTTGCTAGACAAAGAGAAAAAACCCTCCGGTGTGACAGATCCAGCCATGATAACACTCTCTAAACCTTACTCTTTCTCTCCTCATCCTCCACTTCTTAAATGTACTCTTCCTTCTCTCCTTCTCAGATTGTTTCCATCTATTGTTTGTATCATAATTCAGTCACCTGTGCCACTTGTGCACTCTGAATTGGCTCATGTTTTATACAGTTGGTTTGATCACATCATTAGAAACAAGTGTGAACAATTTTGAATCGTTGTGTGTAAACGATGACAACTGTGCTTTAGTTGTGTTTAACTTTTGCCGCTTGTGTTTAGCATTTTGCAGCACAAATGCATCACAGTGTGATAAGTGTTTAAGTGAATGAGAATGTGTTTAGAGTTTTTCAAAAAGAGTGCACGAGATTTGCAAATAGAGCCTAACTGCCTGAATGTGATTAAGGTTTAGCAGAAAGAGTGCTTTATTCGACAAATTGGTTTAAGCTAGTGAGAATTTGGTTCAGAGATTGGGGTTTAGTGTTTTAGCAATTCAGAAAAACTGTAAGAAATGTTTCTTGAACATATTAGAGCATATCAGCATATTACACTGATTTCTGATCGATCAAGTGACACTAAAGACAGGAGTAATGATGCTGAAATTCAGCTTTGCCATCAAAGGAATAAAAAAAATCCTAATATTACTGTTTTTGGATAACAAAATATTAAATCATTGGTTTAATAAACCCATTTATTTTTTATATAAACTTAGCACAACACTTTACAACAAGAAAAACTTTTAACGTCAAGAGGCGGTATTGGTTTAAAATTACGCAGCATAATATAATATACAAAATGTACTGCAACACTTTCTGGTAGTCAAATCTTTTTGAAACATGTATTTCAACACATTAACTATTAATACCTGTGGTTACTCTGCTAGGACACCTTGAGGGGAACTGATTTTATGCATCCATTAAAAATCACCCTGGAACCAGTTGGTTAAGAGTAAGTGACTAGGAAAGTTAGCTATGAGAAAGTTTGCCTGCAGTTGCAGCTGCCATTTGGATTGATATTTTGTTATCTAATGCAATGAAATTCATACATTTTTCCCCGAACAAGGGAACACATAAGCATATTTATAGCTAAAAGGTTAATTTAATTAAAAAGTGAATTATAACAATTTAAAACCAAGAGAATATGTCTGAATTGCATAAATTAATTAGATTTTTCATCTTTGATGATTTATTCAGTGTCGCTCAATTGGTTTTGTTTCAGGACATCATGTGTATCATAAATAAGCATTAAATAAAATCATAATTTACTAATATTATCATAAGCTGCATGAGCCCAATAAAATGTGGAATGATTAGCAAGACATGAATTAACATGACAGACAATAGAAAAAATGGCAAATTTAGTAACTAAATGTCTCTCAGAAGCACAGACCAATCATGTTTATTCTCCATGTATATATATATATGTATTTCAGTTCATATATATTTGCAATTTTGTTCATGTTTTCAGGAATAAAGGGCTGTGTCAAACAGGCTGTCTATGTTGGCCTAACTTCTACCAGGTGGCAGATGAATTTCTGCCAAAATACAACAGAATTTTATTGGATTTTAAACCTTTATAGAGTAATCTGTTGTTTTTTTTTTTGTTTTTTTTTTGCATGTGCCATTGTTTTTCCCCACTGTCCACGATGCCATAAAAACAGACCTGTGACCCATTTTTGCACCCCGACCCACCATTTGAGAACAACTGGACTAATTTAGCATCACTATCCAGAGTGCAGCTGTTTCTTCCTCACATGAAGTTGCCTCAAAGACCTGAAGGCCTCAGGCCTCACATATATTTCAGATAATGCATTATTCATGAACACTTAGCATTCATAACTCACTTGACATTTAAACTTGTTCATGTATAACTGCTTGAAGACAGTATTTGCTCTCTTATTCCCTGTGACCATTTTACTCTGAACGCTTCATCGTACATCCCATAATGTTGTATTGGCGTTCACCTCATCTTTATTTTTAGAAAAGCTTTGGTCACTACAGGACTTTGG